ATTTTGAAGTTCATATTGTAAATATGTTGAGATTATTGGGTGATAGGAGGAATGGCCGGTGAGCGTTTTAGTTCCCATGGTGACACTTGTTCGCAATGTAATTGCAAAATTCAAAGTATGGGTTCTTCACATTTGTTACAGTGAAATATGATTTTCCTAAATTCCATCCTGAAATTCGCAGATCATTGAACTACAGAGCTATTTATTACATGGCATGTATGCTGTATTTTGTACTTGGTATGCATGTCATATTGATAAAGGTTATCAAATTTTAGCCATGTCTTAATTCCTATGAATAACGGCTTTCACTTAGAATAAAATATACATTTGGGTATTTCTTGTTACTTTTGATATTTAAAACTGTCAAATACCATGTTTAGGATTCCTGGATATTATGAAGTGATCATACTTCCTAATGCCTAGATCAAGAAATAGGAGATTTTTAATATTGTATCACAAGTATGGCAATGGAAACCAGTTTGATTCTGCTATCGTAGTTTCATTTTAGTTAAAATGTAAACTAATCTATTTTCACAAAATTCAAGTAATATGCACAGAAAATGTAATAGATATTTGTTGGCAGATTCTAAAACCAATGTGACCAGCTCTGGACGTTTGTGGTTGACCAGCAACTCTTTGCCACATATAGAGCATTATGACTCCATACAAGACACATGGGCATGTACAAGTAGCATTTAAAATACAAATGTAGAATTAGATACAGTATAGCCAAATAAATAGTACAAAGAGGTTTCGTCCCTCTAGGACTTGTCAGTAATGCTAAGATGACCCAATTATTGTTGAAGATCCAAATTTGCTGAAATCTATGTACAGAATTCGAAGATTGTGTAAATCTCATTCAATTCAATACAAAATGATTTCGAAAAAGATTGTCAAATGCATGTGTATGAATTTAAACATAACATGCAGGCTACAGTAAAATTTGGTGACTAAAAGTCCATCCCTCGTAATATCCATGATAATTCAGAAAATAATTAGAAAAATTAAACTGCATCATACTGCTGTTTCTTACCTTCTTCTGTTAGTGACTTGCTAGTCAGCTATTTGATGCTGGTCGGTAACTGGCTTTCGTTAGAAGGGTGTTTCACAAATTTTGAGAACCAAACAACTTCTTTGAAAGTCATGAAACTTGTATATACTGCACAATCCCAAAAAATCATTTTCCTCCATAATTGAAAAGAATGAAAAAATCAAAAGTATATGAGTGAGACCTTGGAAGCAAAACTGTTACATGTATTAGACTACTCCTACACATTTTACCATTCCATGTTGTCTTTGGGCAAGACACTTATCCCTTATTGCTCTGGATGGCATGCAGTGGGCCTCCTGTATTTTGTTCAGTGAGGTACTTACCAGCTTCTCAAGAAGACCCTTCCTGAAAATGACCCTGGCTATTTATGGGGCACAAAACCCACCAAACAAATAAAATGATATTTCTAACATTACTAGATAAAATATCTATCAACACTTATCCAGAAAGTCATAAAGTATCTCTGACCTTTCCAGCTTGGTCTACAGCCATTTTGTCACTATACAGGAGCATTTTATATATAAATAAGTGATATTATATTGCCGTAGTTACATACTGTCAACTTGATATTTTATGATACATGATGTAAACACATGCTGCAGAACACTTTATGCCCATTGACACAGCATGCTGTGTAGCATCAGTTGATCAACAAAAGGCCACACTAAAAAACTTTGTAGCCATTTCTCTGATTTAACCTTTCGGAGACCTTTGATTGTCATTAATGCCTGTTACTAGGGAGGTATGAGCTGCAGCAGGTGTTCCACCAAGACACAACTGTGAACCAACTGACATTCTTTTCATAGTACCATTGGTCTTGAGGAAAGATAAAATGGTAGAAAGCAGCTAGGGCTGGAGCAGTGCTATTGCACTCCATGCAATATGGTTATGAAAAAAGCTACACAGGACAACTTTGCAATATGTTCAATTCTACCAATGAGCTGTCATTTGTTTCTGGCCTAAACAGCAGACTTTTAATGTCATGGAGGTCTGGTGTTTAGGAGATTGAAAACAAAAGTGAAATAGAACCAAAACATAGGAGTAGGTATCGAAGCAGGTACTTATTGTTTTAAAGCATGTCTACAGTTCTGAGGTCAACAGTTCAAGCCCTGATCTTGTATTGATGAGGTGATAACATTTTTACTGGTACTGTTAAACAAAGTGTTTTCTTAAACAGGTCTGTAATTAAAAATTTCATCAGTCTTATGAGGGTGAAACTCAACCAAGGAAATGTATTTACAACAAGACACACCAACAATGTAGAGTGTTTGAAAATTCATATAATATTTTGAAGTATTAAATTTTGAGTGTTTTTTTCCCTTCATTCCAAGGGTAATATTGATCTACAAATGCATATTTACAAACTGCTAAAATTGGTTTAAGTAAATTTATAGAGCTATGTTAATATACATAACCCAGCGTGCATGAAATAGTGATTATTTGAAAAACCATGAAAGCGAAGCCCCACATAAATATATGGTAACATTATCCTGTATATCATAATAATTGTATATTTCATGCGAGGGCCTGATTTTTTGCCATTGAGAAAGAAATCCATTATATATTTCTAATTCTTGACGTTAAATATTTCAGTTTTTACACCAAATGACATAATAAGTATATATAAAATAAAAAAATGACAAAGTTTTTTCTGCATCATCTTCATGTTTATTGAATCAAAAGACAGATTAACCTTGCTATGTATTACAATATTTTAACAAAACATGCACATGGTGTAGTTACTGTAGTATATGACTCAAGGAAAGCAACTGGTGCTGTATCTCAAAGTCTGCAGGAGAGACAGCAACTGGAGTTGTATTTAAAAGTCTACAGGAGAGACAGCAACTGGTGCTGTATACATAAGTCTACAGGAGAGACAGCAACTGGTGCTGTATACCAAAGTCTACAGGAGAGACAGCAACTGGAGTTGTATTTAAAAGTCTACAGGAGAGACAGCAGCTTGTGCTGTATACCAAAGTCCACAGGACAGACAGCAACTGGAGTTGTATTTAAAAGTCTACAGGAGAGACAGCAACTGGTGCTGTATACATAAGTCCACAGGAGAGACAGCAGCTTGTGCTGTATTTCAAAGTCTACAGGAGAGACAGCAACTGGTGCTGTATACAAAAAGTCTACATGAGAGACAGCAACTAGTGCCGTATATCAAAGTCTACAGGAGAGACAGCAACTCGTGCTGTATACATAAGTCCAAAGGAGAGACAGCAGCTTGTGCTGTATTTCAAAGTCTACAGGAGAGACAGCAACTGGTGCTGTATATCGAAGCCCAAAAAAGAGACAGCAACTGGTGCTGTATTTCAAAGTCTGCAGGAGAGACAGCAACTGGTGCTGTATTTCAAAGTCTACAGGAGAGACAGCAACTGGTGCTGTTTACCAAAGTCTACAGGAGAGACAGCAACTGGTGCTGTATATCAAAGTCTACAGGAGAGACAGAAACTGGTGCTGTATACCAAAGTCTACAAGAGAGACAGAAACTGGTGCCGTAAAGCAAAGTTTACAGGAGAGACAGCAACTGGTGCCGTATACCAAAGTCTACACGAGAGACAGCAACTGGTACTGTATTTCAAAGTCTACAGGAGAGACAGCAACTGGTGCTGTATACCAAAGTCTACAGGAGAGACAGCAACTGGTGCTGTATACCAAAGTCTACAGGAGAGACAGCAACTGGTGCTGTATACCAAAGTCTACAGGAGAGACAGCATCTGGTGCTGTATACCAAAGTCTACAGGAGAGACAGCAACTGGTGCTGTATACCAAAGTCTACAGGAGAGACAGCAAATGGTGCTGTATACCAAAGTCTACAGGAGAGACAGCAACTGGTGCTGTATACCAAAGTCTATATAAGAGGGGCCTGATAATCAATTTTCTTTACAAAGGCATCCAGTCACATATAGACATAAAAGATTTATATGCTTCGACATCAAATAAATTGATAATATTTTTAGAAAGTTTATAGAAATGCTAAAATGTGATGTATACTTTCAAAATCAACTATCTCTAATGATGCAGGTGGATCTATTTGATAAAAATGAGTTGACAAAATTAATGTATTGCACCTATCTCAAAATATATACAAACATGGCAGCACCTTCTTAATAAGAATAGACAGATGTCCTCCTTTATTCCATAAGATAATATTGAACTCTATAAGTAACCTGATGACAGTTTAATTCTAGTGATAGCTACATATACCTGGTTGATATATTATTGAGTATCAATGAAAGAAAATGGATTAAAAAAAACGAGAAGATAAAAGATCTGAAAAGTTGAAATTAGATAAACATATTGCTAAATCTGATACCATCTAAACAGAAGAGGTTAAACTACAACAGATCTAGTATTTATGGAGGATCTACTCAGGATAAACTACATACATATTAATTTGGTAAATAGATATACAATGTTCATATTGTGACCAAATTCTCGGTCAATAAAAGAAGTTAATAGGTTAGAGATTGTAGTGGATACTTACCTGTATACTGTGATGATAAACGTTATGACATTACATTTGTCTGCTGTTTATCTTTTACAATGTAAACTATGATGTAACAATATTAGTGTAGTATGAACTTGTCCTTGCTAATATGGTTTGTTTTTAAGTATGTAACTGATGTCTTCTAGGTTTCTGCTTCGTTGTAATTGTTTAATGTCACTTATGCAGATTTGTGTAATGTGTTCCTTAGAGTGTCGGGTTTAAAAGATTAATGTATTTTGCTGTGCTGCATACATAAATCAATGTATGTTAGACAGATACACTGTGTTAAGGGTCACAGATAGGTCATTTACACAGAAATCAAAAGTCTGCAATTTTGATATGAAACCATTCAAACATTACAGTGAAACATTTATATAAACATGTAACTTAAAATTACAACATTTCTGATTTGTTAATTTTAAATCATATTTCAAATATTGTTATATGAGCATCTACAACAGCAATGAGGAAAAATTTAGTTCTAACTCTAAATTGTGCTCGCTTATCTTTTTAATAACGGTGGATACATAAAAATAAAAAAAAACACAAAATAACCATATAATATCGACATTGTAATACAGGTTACATAGTTATTATTATTACTGTATAAAGGACATGATACAGAGTAAAGGCAACCGCATCTTAATACAAATCTAATTTAATTACACGGTGTATTTATTTTCAACAAAAAAGTTGACTATAAATCTAACCTTGAAAATTGCAGTTTCCTCAGAAACAATACTGTCCAATTCATATTTACAAAAGGTATTCAAAATGTTTTATGTACTCCATACATTAAACCCTGATGCCTGCCAGGTGACTCTAGTAAAAGACACACATTCCTCTAGATCAAGATAATTAGTCCCTTGACCATAGATTTTATGAATTTGAAGACAATCTACATTTAAACATTGTGATGTTATTTGAAACACAATCCACCAGATCATTATACCCGGACCACCACAGTTCAGATCAATGGTTTACATACTCTGTATCATATCAACACTGTATAAACACTTGATTGTTGGTTCTCAAGAATTTGTTACCAGTCCTAACAGAGTTACTCCCCATTAAATGCTACTGAGGTAGTCAAAGGGAGATAACACCTTAGCACTTCTGAGTAACTTTCTGGCTGTGCTCTCTGCCTATTCCTATTCTACATACATATATGTCAGGCTGTCATGACAGCTGTCTGATTGATATTGAATTAAAACAGCTTCTTTATGACAGTCATAAATCTGAAATAAACTGATTCATATTTTGTCCCATATCTCTCTGACTTATGGTTTTTCCTCACATTCTGAAAATTTGTTTTAAAACTTTCGATTGAATACTTTTTTCAAATTGCTATAGTAGAAGTTTGTTCATACTTGCATTTAAATATCATTATTCATGTACAATCTTTAATGCAATTCTAATGTTTGTATGATGTGATATAAAGTTTACATAACAGGTGGTTTAGAAACTAGCGCAGGTTGGTCATAGAAATCCATATAGTTGTCATAAAAAATCAGTGGCTTGTCACAAGATATTTTCCTGCAAGAGTCAACACCACCAGCAGGTCATCATTACCACCATATAACATTAGCAGCAAAAATTCTGTATTGTAAACACACCAACTTTGTCCTCCACATAGTTTTTAAAAAGACTATTGAGAAAGAACAACTTTCCTAAGATGTTTCATTAAAAAGTATTGTATCAAACCAAATGCTAACTCATTACTATAACCACTTTCCATAACTATTAACTTTTTGTGATTTCTTCATTGTGACTTTCAGTGATGAGAAAATCTTTCTCAAACAATAATTTTTCATTACTATTCTGGCCTAAACTTTTAAATAATCATAAAATTTGTGAAAGTGTATCGCATGTAAAAAAAAAAAAAAGCTGGTTTACAGTAACCATTCTGAATCACCTCTAACTTTGACTATTATATCTCGTACCATTGCTGCAACAGTTGCTCTAGAAAAATACTGATATTTCTGAATTACTGGAATGCATTGTGTAAGTGGGCATGATTATATGTACACCTTCAATGAACTGTTTTGAGAAATTGACTCAATTCTTCCACAGCTGTCTGGTTGTTCACATCAACACTTCTCTGTAACATCAGAGATGTTGGCAAATCTGTCAGTAATTCCTTAAGTTCTGTGAATGAACTCAGATCTACAGATGACCCTTGAGGAACTTCGATCTCTTCAAATGTTAAATTCATCAACTCATCGAGGAGTTGAAGATTTGGGCCAACCTGCTCACTGTCTTCATCGTCCTCCTCTCCCTCTACATCAGCATCAATTCCAGAGGCGGCTACAGCATTATGATGATTATCACCATTAGGCAACATTTTTGTTCTGAGCCTCACAGGTTCATCTGTGTTGTCATCAGGACTATTGCCACCAGTCTGACACACATCTTCACTTCTTTCTGCCTGGATGATGTCCTTAGGTGGGCTGCTACATACACCTGAGGTATACCCAGAGTCAGTGTGCCACTCTGCAGCTGAGTTACTGGTCTGACCCTGCACCCCTTCACTTGCTACACTTGATACTTGCGACAGATCAATCTTAGTACCAGTACTTGTGGTGGTAATTCCTGGCATCTTCTGATCTGTAGGCTTGTTACCCACTGACAACGGTTGCACAGATGAATTAGATGATGAGTGATGAGTTAGGCTGAATGACGCTGGTCTGTCTGAAGTCTTCAGTGGTGGTAAATGTGACTGCAGAGGTGGAGATACTGGAGATGTTGGCGATGAATTTCCACCTCCAGAAAATCGTGTCAGGAGACTGTTGACTTTTCCTCCAGAGTTAAGTCGTAATGGACGGGAAGGGGAACTTACGTTTTCTTTTGGGGTGATTTCACCTGAAAATCTATTGATCATATCTTTTGTGCTTGATGTTCTGTCTATCTTTCTGTCTGTTGGTTTTGTTGAGCTGGATTCATTGACCGATTTACTAGACAGTTGATTCATAGCATTACTGACAGCATTTTGTTGGGGAAGAGAGCCTCGTCTTGGTGACATTGGCTGCTTTTCTGGTTTCTGACTGAAATTTATGTAAAGACCAGTTTAAGATATTTAAAATGAACAAAGAAAAAACCTCACAAAAACAAAACAATGCTTCTTGTAACATGTCATAGAAATGATTTTATCAAAACAATTAGATAACTTTAACTAGACTATACACATAATGCAAATGTAAACTGCACAACATTAACTGCTGTCCAATGCTAACCTAGTTTGTATTAAAAGAAATAACAATTAAGAATGTAATTTTCCTTATAAATTCTTTCATCCATGAAGAGTATTCAATAGATTCTATCATGGAACATCTTTGATATTTTGGTCAATTTAACCTCTCCCCAAAGGGAAATATTAGACTGTAGGGACTTGAAATTCACAATTTTGGTAAAGCACCGTGAGACACTTCCATCATTGCAGAGTATCTGGTTCTGCTTTATCTTGGTATTAAGAAGATTTTTGAAATTTATATCAATTTTACCCTTCCTTGCCCCTGCCTCTCTGGCTCCTGGGGACTTGGGGACCATATATTTAAATGTTTTTGTGCGTCTTTATAGATGGAAGGTTTTTGTACAATTTCAATGACATCGGTTTGTAAGCTTTCCAGAACAAGTCAAAAATGTTAAAAGTTTTAGGGAATTGCAATAAGTCACCCTGACACATTGAACTAAAACAGAACCATTCCAAACTTCAGGACAAAATTTAAAATCAAGTCAAACAAGAGGTCCAATGGGCCTGCAGAGCTCACCAGGTATATATATATCAGCCAAATATCATGCCTCTAGGCCTTTCAGTTCATGAGATAAAGTCGTTTAAAGGTTGTAGCAAATTTGACCCTGTGACCTTGAATATGTGTCACAGTCATTTCTTTTCTCAAGCTTTGTTGTGCTGCTTCCTAGGAACATATCAGCCAAATATCATGCCTCAAAGCCTATTAGTTCATGAGTAGAATTAATTTAAAAGTTTTAACAAATCTGACCCCTGTGACCTTGAATTAGGTCAAAGTCGTTTCTTTTTGTAATTTTGTTTGGTTTCATCCTAGGAACCATATCAGTCGAATATTAAAATTTTGGTCCAGTGGTTATTGAGAAGAAGTTGTTTAAAAAGAAGTTTGATGTAGGATGATGAATGGATGGATAGATGGACAGCAGATGCTGCACCACAGCATAAGCCCTGCAGGCCAGGTGAGGTAATAAAAGTCAGACCTGATGACAAGTTTACCCAGACCTAAGATGATAAGAAGTCGATACCATAAAAAAATTGCATGATGATATTCTCTAATGTTTTGACTCGTGCTTGTTTAGGTAGAGTTACCACTGCATTGTTAAAATTCCACTTTTAAACTGTATTTTCCATTCTATTTGTAACAAGAGATCTCAGAGGGATGTTGGTGCCCACCATTGTTGGATCTCTATATATGGTCTTTGAAAGTTAGATCTTTTCCTTTCTTTTCTTTTCTGATTTTGCTCTGAATGATAAGACATTTGAACATTTCTTTGCAGAAATAAATGATTATCTTCACCTGCCAAATCCAAAATGGCCACCTGGAAGCCATTTTGTTCCTTCTGATCAGCACAAGGAGAGATCAAAGGCAATTTACATATGAAATTTGAGAGATATTCATTCAGTACTTCTTCAGAAATAGCAATAACAATCTTTACTAAGCAAAATCTAAGATGGCTGCCTGTCAACCATCTAGTTTTTCTGATCAGTCCCAAACTCAAATAGGCACGAGTAGGGACCTAAAGAACCTTATCCATGGAATTTGAGAAAGATCTATACAGTAGTTCTCAAGAAATAGTGATAACAACTTTCAAAGTCAAAATCTAGGTGTCCATCTGTTGCCATTTTGTTTTTCTGATCAGTCCTATAATCAAATTGGCACAACAAGGGACCAAGGGTAACCTGCGTATGAAATTGAAGAAAGATCCGTTGAGTACTTTTCAAGAAATAGCGATAACAATTTTTCTAAGTTTTCCTTTTGGTCATTTTGTTTTTCAAAAACTACATGGACACATGGACCAAAGGGAACCTTACTTTTTGGCCATTTTTGAAATACAAGATGGTTATCTCTGTCAGCCATTGGTTTTTTGGTCAATCACTAAAAATAACAGGGGCACAACAAAAATCCAAGATGGCCACTTTTTGGCCATTTTGTTTTTCTGATCAATCCTAAAAATAACAGGGGCACAACTAGCGACCAGGTGAAACCTTCATATGAAATTTGAGGGAGATCCATCCCATACTTTTCAAGAAATAGTGATAACAAACTTAAGTTAACTCCAAGATGGCTGCCTGTTTGCCATTTAGTGTTTTTGATCAGTCCCAAAATCAAACAGGCACAACTAGGGACCAAGGGGAACCTACATATGCATTTTGAGAAAGATCCATTCAAGACTTCTCAAGCAATAACAAATAACAAAAATTGTTTACAGACTGACGAACGGACAGAGGACGGACAGACAGAGGGATGACAGATGGACGGATGAAGGACCACAGATGCAAAGCGATCTGAATACCTCACCATCTGATGATAGTAAGCTTAAAAAAAGTCAACAAAAGTTTTTTTTCTTAGATTTACCTCCCTTGTCAAGTTATCTACCAGTATTCTAATTGTTATGCAGTGCAACAAGATTGGAAGTAATTCAGTATCAAGTTTGAAAACATACATTTAACTATTTTTGATGCAGTGAAATCTTGAAACATATGGAATACATGTACTATTGTAGACTTAACAAACCAGCCGGAACCACTGATCAGTTACAAACTTAGTGATGGTGAACTTGTTTGATTATAACTCACCTAGTAATGAGGAGCTCACCATCCTGTTGTCTGGCCTCCTCTATGTGGTTGATCCAATCCTGGCAAAGTTCCAATGTCTCAGCAGACTGGAAGTACAATTATTTTTCATTCAGGTTGTGTTGTTAATTACAGTGAAAATTAAAATGTAAACAATAACTTCAAACTTACAGGACACTGCATGACCATGTTCATTTGTGAAAATATTACACATCACAGAACCTTTTAGATGCATAATTTACAAGTTTCTCCTGCTAGTTATTAAGATCAATGTAGTGACAAGGTAAATCAGGTTTAATACTTACAAACAGGAAGCTCTTTTCTGTGAAGACCTCAAATTGTTTTTTATCAAGATATGGTGTAACAGACTTAATCCTTTTGATCTCTATTGTGAACATACATGAGGAACGCTAAAAAATAGAATATACCTCATAAGGAAAAATGTTTACATAAGAAAAATCACAATTAAAGAAGGAAATAACAGATTTCTTATTACTCAAGACATGTAACAAGAGGCCTAATGTGCCTGTATCAGAAAAAACATGCTATCTATCTAACTCTGTGAAATTCATTGTTGGTAAAATCATATCAAACATTTTGAAAGAAAATTTCAATATATGAAAAATGTTCAACTCTTAACAAAGGATTAAGGTTAAAATCATTTGAATCTAAAAGTGAAAATATTTTTATCAATTCCAGTTTCATAAGCCAATTACTAAGAACCTGGGACTATCAATAAACATTTATAAAAGAAAAAAAAAAGAGAATATTTCAAAAGCTTGCCCTAAATATGGCCTTGGCAATGGACTAAAGTGAAGTAATAGCCATTAAAAACTGTAAACTTTATTTATCTTACAACAATGGCAAAACAAGTTATTTCAACTTATACTAATCACTCTTGTTGGCCTGGATGTAAATGTGCGAGGGGTCTTATTAAGGGAGGAAATTGGAGTACATATTGAAGAGTTCGTCAACTAACAAACTAACATAATTTCTTCATTGCACCATGCTACTAACGCCTAATATTATGACACTAAAGTGCCATCTGGTAATTCTAAAAGTTATTCTGACACTTTATTAACATAAAACTCATTTAAACAAGAGTATCAGAGAAAGTATGATCAATATATGCAATAACTTTCATGATCTTCGCTTAACTGTGGACAAAGTTATACTCCAGACAAGATATTTTTAACAATGAGCAATAACTCTGTAATTAAGGGAGTTGCAGGACCTAACATTGGAACACTGCACACTGTCTTTGTATGATCAAAGTTTCATTGTCCTACCTTAAATGTAAGCAATCTAAAGTTATGCTGTAGACACAAAATTTTAACAAAGGGCAATAACTCTGTCATTAAGAGAGTTGCAGGCCCTAACATTGGAACACTGCACACTGTCTTTGTATGATCAAAGTTTCATTATCCTACCTTAAATGTAAGCAATTTAAAGTTATGCTGTAGACACAAAATTTTAACAAAGGGCAACAACTCCCTAATTAAGGTATTGCAGGACCTGAATTTGGTATACTACGAATCCCCTTAGTATGACCAATGTATACACCAAGTTTTATGATCCTTGCTTAACTTTGGGCAAAGTTAAGGTGCCGACATGGACAGACAAACTGACAAGGCAGCAACTGCATGCTCCTTTGAAAATGTTTTAGGGGGCATATAGAAATTGAGAGAACTTCAGAGTTATTTCCACTTGGACAAAGTCAGTCATAAACTGGTGTGAATATTCATTCCTAGGAGCATAAGAGAAACAGAGGTCAGAACATCTTTGACATGATCTATAAAATATACTTTATTTCCTTGTGGTACCACCCTCCAAATACTATAGATAATGATTTACTTTACACCCTTCTAAACCTCCACAAAAACACTTCCATCACCCATAAATACATGTATGAAGGATACATTTTCCTGTATAAATACATCTTATATGTAATTTATTATTTTACAGGCACATTTATTCTGAACAGGTGTTAGGGACTCCACAGTTTTACTGTTCAGGTCATTTTTCACATCGTCACTGTCAAAGCATACATATTACTTGTTTGGAGCTAAAAGTAACAAACTGAATAAAAAACAGACACTTGATGTGCTGAGACTATGTGTTATGGTCAAATGAACCCAATGGGAGAATTCAAAAGCCAGTAGATTAGTCTGTTCTATCAGATCTGGAACAAAACCTTACACAGGTATGATGCCAGGAAGACATACCAGATTAGATATTACATTCACTAACACTCCAACCTTGCAAGTGATATCTGTCTTTGCATGTTATGTAGTTGTGCATGTAGTTATGTGATATTACAGAAATCTTAAAGATACTGATTTTTTGTATCAAAACATTTTAAAAAAAAGTTATGTAAGATAAATACTCCTTTACTTATACGCCATTATTACTTTTTTGAGTTACTAGTCTGGTGAACCAAGATATCTACTCCTTATTTCAGCAGAAAGCTAGATATAAATGATTTAGTTATACTGTACATGGGTAATGTTTTTGTCCCCAACATCTAGTTTTCGTTAATTTTACCACAAGATTTGCATGATCAAAATGAATGAGGGAATTTTAAAAGATCAAGTTACTTAATGTATTTGCAGTTCCAGGTCTTAAATGGCAAAAACATATGACATGGCAAAAATCAGAAAATTTGCATATGGCAAAATAAATTAATCATACAATATATCATATCCTATGTGATACCTACCTTATTTCTGTAGAAAGCTAGACTTTCACCATCCAGAGTACACCAAAGGCTCTGGGTAGTCTTACTTTTCTGCAAATAAAATTATACAAATTGAGATGCTAACATATTTCAGAACATATTTCTAACCTGATTGCATAAAGTGAAATAAAAAAAAAAATGCAAATGCAGTGATCAAAGGTTCACAGCGGGGCTATTGTGAATATTGTGAATATATTTCCTTAATCCGGACCGTCCCTTAATATTTCCTTAAAATTTCCTAGATCCAGATCATTATTTAAAAATTCCTTGATCTGGATGATCACACAGCATTTTCCTGATTAGAAATGCTATTATGTACAATTTCATAACATTTACAACAATGTTGTATGGGACAATTCCTAGATATTGTGATCACTAAACTAACAAAGGGCCATACTGAGTACAGAAATCTGATGGACAAAACAATATGTTTAAAATGGTGACAGGAAACACCCTGTAATGCTGTAAATATCAATGTTTTGTACTGAATAGAATTTTGTGTATAATATTTAATATTTCGATCCAAAAAGGTCTTACTTCAAAATCTGCATTTCTGAATTTTTCCCTTATGCTTGGGTAGTGATATAAAGAGTGACTCGAGTCACGATGTTGTATCAAAACTCCAAACCAAAACATCCTCCTTTTGCATTATGTAAATCTAACCTTTAATCTTTACCCATAATCTTGAACTATTAAAAGTTCAAATTGACTGATCGCTGATTCATAATAATTCCTGTCACTTGTCTTATGAAAATTTTCACTAAAAATCTTTCATTTTCAATCATTTTGGAATTGACCTTTGATTTTGAACCAGTTTTTCAAGGCCATGGTATAGTGATACATTTCACTATTTTCTTACTAATTAATTTTTTCATAATTTTTTTTTCTGTTTGCCCTGATTCAATATCAACACACAAATAGAAAAAAAATAGGTCTGGGTTGGGGAAATTTAGGGTGGGGCAGGGGGGATTCACTTCACCATGGCCATGGTAAAGAGAAGTTTAACACTATTTTTTTCTCGGATTTATTTTCTTTTTACCCTGATTCCCCACCTCAGACATATCTTTTGTTATCTATGTGTTTATATGATTGAATCAGGGTGATGAGAAAACAAATGATTCACTTTACCATGGCCCACCCTAAATTTCCTCACCCTCTTTTTGTTTTTGTTTTATTATGTATTGAGAAACAAAATTAAGTAAACTGATAAAGAATTTAGTGATGAAACAGCAAATGAAAAACAAAATATAAAGTGGCTTCACTTTACCAGAGGCTTCACTTTATCATACTACACCGGTCCAGAATGTTATCCTTATATAACACTGTTGATTAACTTACCACTATTATGAATAAAAGTTTTATAAATCAAACACTTTTTGATGTATCAAAGTCTTTTTCAAGGACTGCTTTCTATGAAAAATCAGTCATTGACAAATCATGTTTTGTTTTAAATCCATTCTTAAAATACACAAATATATTGTACTTGTAACTATTGAAGCGAAATGTAAACATAAGTACTCCATGTCCATTTCCTGTTAATTTCTCCTAATAATGATGTTTTTTCTCATGAATAAAAACTTTTTCTTTTATGAAATCTCTCTTTGTATTTCATCTTGATGTATCAAAGTTTTGTTTTAGTCCCTTGAACTTTAAAACATCGAAGTTTGAATTATGTCCCTTATATATGTATGCATTGCAATTTATAAACCAGGCAAGAAAAGCTAAACATTCTTACAGTATTGAGAAGTAAACACCATTCATGACAACAGTTATATCATATTTTATTGACTTTTATATCTATGTGAGAAAGAAATCACGTCACTGATTAATTTTTTTCAAAAGAAAGAAAGAAAAAGAAATAAAGAAAGAAAAGAAAGAAAACATATAATATCGATGGTCAAGTCAATTTAGATACAGCAAGATGGAAAAAAGAAACAGAAAACATAATAGCTATGGTCAATTTAGATACGAACAAGATGGTATTGATTTAATTAAGAAGAGATATTATATAAGCGATGGCCTCAATAATTTAGATGTCTTAGTCATTCCAGATAAAAGATACTGTCTTTGTAAACAGTTTGAATAAATGATATTTTAGTCATTCCAGATAAAAGAGACTGGTTTTAATTAACAGTTTGAAGAAAAAATACCTAGATCATTCCAGAAAAAAAAAATGCCTTTACAAACAGTTTGGAGAAAAGATATCTTGGTCATTCTATAGATATTACTATCAGAAATGACCTTAATTAGCTGCAGAAAAGTATCTCCTGGTCATTCCTGATATCAGAGATGATCTACTTACCCTGTTTGTCTGTTAAAATAAACACATGATCAAACCCATGACTTGTCTGTGATTTAAAACAGTTCAAACATAAAGTCTGTATCATATTGTATTTTTATGAAGATTAAAATAAAATGGATTTCATTAATAATTCTTCCAATCATATTGCTTCATATTTGATCTTGTTTCTCTGAGAATGTTTCTGTTCTATTTGTCAGAAATCTCTATTGGATACCAATTAGTGCATGAGTAAAATCATTGTCGTGTACAATTTAGCTTAATGTGAAACCAATGTACACTTTGTTGTGTAATTCACATATAAAATGGGAAAATTTAAATACTAATGAGTGGGAATTCCCCTAAAATCTGCCACAACTATTTTACTGCTGAGTAAAAGGATCACAAGATGTTTTAGTCAGCCCTAAGGAAATGTGACTAAGGGTAAACTCAAGGTGTGGCTATTGCTATACTTATCATGGGCCTAACTGATCTGCTCAGTCAAGGCTAACTCAATGATTAAGATACACATGCCATTATTATGCACATTATGTGAAGATTTCAAAGTCAGTGATTTTTTAAAACTTTATGTATGTCCTTTGTTCTGAATTTACTGAGAAACTGTATTTAAATGAAGCATACACATATGCGAAACAATAGAAAGTTTTGTCTGATCCAGGAATACTTCGTGTGTAGTGATGAGTAATGATGTCTGATGACCTGTAGAAAGTCACACACACACACACAAAACATACAGCCATCATTTAAACCTGTTTACAGGCAAATCAGAAATAGTAAGTATCCCAACATGGCCCCTGTGACAGGTATCAAATGGCCCCAATAGTGTCCCATTACAATCCCTGTGACAGGTATTACAGGCCCCAATAGTGTCCCATTACAATCCCTATGACAGAAAGCACAGGCCTCAATAGTGTCCCATTACAATCCCTGTGACAGCTGTTACAGGAACAATAAGTACCAATACAATCCCTGTGACAGGTGTTACAGGAACAATAAGTACCAATACAATCCCTGTGACAGGTGTTACAGGAACAATAAGTACCAATACAATCCCTGTGACAGGTGTTACAGGAACAATAAGTACCAATAAAATCCCTGTGACAGGTGTTACAGGAACAATAAGTACCAATACAATCCCTGTGACAGGTACTACAGGAACAATAAGTACCAATACAATCCCTGTGACAGGTGTTACAGGAACAATAAGTACCAATAAAATCCCTGTGACAGGTACTACAGGAACAACAAGTACCAATACAATCCCTGTGACAGGTACTACAGGAACAATAAGTACCAATACAATCCCTGTGACAGGTGTTACTGGTACAATAAGTACCAATACAATCCCTGTGACAGGTGTTACAGGAACAATAAGTACCAATACAATCCCTGTGACAGGTGTTACAGGAACAATAAGTACCAATACAATCCCTGTGACAGGTGTTACAGGAACAATAAGTACCAATAAAATCCCTGTGACAGGTACTACAGGAACAACAAGTACCAATACAATCCCTGTGACAGGTGTTACAGGAACAATAAGTACCAATACAATCCCTGTGACAGGTGTTACAGGAACAATAAGTACCAATACAATCCCTGTGACAGGTGTTACAGGAACAATAAGTACCAATACAATCCCTGTGACAGGTACTACAGGAACAATAAGTACCAATACAATCCCTGTGACAGGTGTTACAGGAACAATAAGTACCAATACAATCCGTTTGACAGGTGTTACAGGAACAATAAGTACCAATACAATCCCTGTGACAGGTGTTACAGGAACAATAAGTACCAATACAATCCGTTTGACAGGTGTTACAGGAACAATAAGTACCAATACAATCCCTTTGACAGGTGCTACAGGAACAATAAGTACCAATACAATCCCGGTGACAGGTGTTACAGGAACAATAAGTACCAATACAATCCCTGTGACAGGTGCAACAGGAACAATAAGCACCAATACAATCCCTGTGACAGGTGTTACAGGAACAATAAGTACCAATACAATACCTGTGACAGGTGTTACAGGAACAATAAGTAACAATACAATCCCTGTGACAGGTGTTACAGGAACAATAAGTACCAATACAATCCCTGTGACAGGTACTACAGGAACAATAACTACCCAATACAATCCCTGTGACAGGTGTTACAGGAACAATAAGTGTACCAATACAATCCCTGTGACAGGTGTTACAGGAACAATAAGTAACAATACAATCCCTGTGGCAGGTACTACAGGAACAATAACTACCCAATACAATCCCTGTGACAGGTGTTACAGGAACAATAAGTGTACCAATACAATCCCTGTGACAGGTGTTACAGGAACAATAAGTACCATTACAATCCCTGTGACAGGTATTACAGGCCCAATAGTGTCCCATTACAATCCCTGTGACAGGTATTACAGGCCCCAATAGTGTCACATTACAATCCCTGTGACAGAAAGCACAGGCCTCAATAGTGTCCCATTACAATCCCTGTGACAGGTGTTACAGGAACAATAAGTACCAATACAATCCCTGTGACAGGTGTTACCGGAACAATAAGTGTACCAATACAATCCCTGTGACAGGTGTTACAGAAACAATAAGTACCAATACAATCCCTGTGACAGGTGTTACAGGAACAATAAGTACCAATACAATCCCTGTGACAGGTGTTACAGGAACAATAGCGTCCCATTACAATCCCTGTGACAGGTGTTACAGGAACAATAAGTACCAATACAATCCCTGTGACAGG